GTTAGATTGATGATCCGAATTTCTTTTGAGTTTTTGTTTTTAATTTTTTTTAAAAAGTGCACGATACAGAACTTCAACATCGCTTGAGAATGAAACTTTTCTCTGGAGTTAGTTTTTAAGATAAAAAATTAAACTTTGTTTCCTGAGTAACATATATATCAGTCTATTCATATCTATCTATCTATCTATCTATCTATCTATCTATCTATCTATGTTTCCACACACACACACACACACACACACACACACACATACATACATATATATATATATATATATATATATATATATATATATATATATATATATATATATATATATATATATATATATATATATATATATAATTGAAATAATGAGAAAAAATAGTAAGATTTATAATCCGGTGTTGTTAGCAATTATTTTATTTCAAAAATGAACATTATACAGAAACAAACAGTAGAGCAAAATATTATAATTATTTTCTTTTTTAAAATATGATTCCATAGTGACACAGAAATTTCTGTTTCAAAACTGAATCTAAATTTATAAATTTCAATTTTCGTTCCATTTTCAAGCGATATAATTTTCTGAGAAATTTAATTAATTTATAAGAGCAGACAATATTAATATTATGAGTTATGAATAGACTGGTATATCTATCTATCTATCTATATATATATATATATATATATATATATATATATATATATATATAGTCTGTTCATATATCTATGTATGTATATATATATATATATATATATATATATATATATAGAGAGAGAGAGAGAGAGAGAGAGAGAGAGAAAGAGAAAGATAATGAACAGGCAATCTAATCATATCTATCTATCTATCTATCTATCTCTCTCTCTCTCTCTCTCTATATATATATATATATATATATATATATACATATATATATATATATATATATATAGATAGATAGATAGATAGATAGAAATAGATAGATAGAGAGATAGATAGAGAGATAGATAGAAATTGATAGATAGATAGATAGATAGATAGATAGATAGATAGATAGATAGATAGATAGATAACGCCACTCGATTTACTTGAGAAAATGGGCCAGTGTATAGGTTTCAGCTCCTGTATATTATTGTTGTCAGTGCCAGTGTAAATGTGTGCCCAGTTTGTATATTTATCTGTTTATGCGGACCGAGAGGCAGTGTGCTTTGGAAGCACTGGGAGAGCTCTTACTCAGCTACACCCGATTTACACCAAACACATTTACCCACCCTTCCAGTGTACGCTCTCCAGTAAGAGAGGAGGGAAAATCTTGAATTCTCTATAGTCGTATTCACATCTGAGATCACTGGATTCGTGGAAGATTAGAAAACTAAAGATTTCGTTTGAAAAATTAGAAACTTTAAACTAAATTACCATTGGAAATGTAATGGATGATAGAAAGAGAATGACAGAAAGTACAATATTCGATCTAGGATTAAATAGATTATCTATCTATCTATCTATCTATCTATCTATCTATCTATCTATCTATCTGTCACTGTCTGTTCATATCCATCTATCTATCTATCTATCTATCTATCTATCTATCTATCTATCTATCTATCTCTGATATAATGTTCATTATCTATTTATTTATATATCTATCATTGACAATAAGGCCAATATCTATGTATGTATGTATGTATCTATCTATCTATCTATCTATCTATCTATCTATCTATCTATCTATCTATCTATCTATCATTGACAGTATGGCTATCTATCTATCTATCTATCTATCTATCTATCTATCTATCTATCTATCATTGACAGCATGGCTACCTATCTATCATTGACAGTATGGCTATCTATCTATCTATCTATCTATCTATCTATCTATCTATCTATCTATCTATCTATCTATCTATCACTGTCTGTTCATATCTATCTATCTATCTATCTATCTATCTATCTATCTCTGATATAATGTTCATTATCTATTTATTTATATATCTATCATTGACAATAAGGCCAATATCTATCTATCTATCTATCTATCTATCTATCTATCTATCTATCTATCTATCATTGACAGTATGGCTATCTATCTATCTATCTATCTATCTATCTATCTATCTATCTATCTATCTATCTATCTGTCACTGTCTGTTCACATTCATCTATCTATCTATCTATCTCTGATATAATGTTCATTATCTATTTATTTATATATCTATCATTGACAATAAGGCCAATATCTATCTATCTATCTATCTATCTATCTATCTATCTATCTATCTATCTGTCACTGTCTGTTCATATCTATCTATCTATCTATCTCTGATATAATGTTCATTATCTATTTATTTATATATCTATCATTGACAATAAGGCCAATATCTATGTATGTATGTATGTATCTATCTATCTATCTATCTATCTATCTATCTATCTATCTATCTATCTATCATTGACAGTATGGCTATCTATCTATCTATCTATCTATCATTGACAGCATGGCTATCTATCTATCATTGACAGTATGGCTATCTATCTATCTATCTATCTATCTATCTATCTATCTATCTATCTGTCACTGCCTGTTCATATCTATCGATCTATCTATCTATTTATCTATCTCTGATATAATGTTCATTATCTATTTATTTATATATCTATCATTGACAATAAGGCCAATATCTATCTATCTATCTATCTATCTATCTGACATTATGTTTATTATCTCTCTTTTTATCTATATCACTATCATTCACAATATGGTCAATATCTATCTGTCTATCTATCTATCTATCTATCTATCTATCTATCTATCTTAATATGTTTTATCTATTTATCTATCTTAGTCTGTTCAATCTATCTATCTATCTATCTATCTATCTATCTATCTATCTATCTATCTATCTATTCCTGTTTATATCTATATATATACAGTAGTCCACCGCTACTGCGCGGGACTTTTGATCCAAGATGGCCGACGAGCGTTGGAACCGAATTGCGGTATATATCTGGGGTGTGGGCGATAATTGGAAGTTGAACAGCTCCCTGATTTCTGGGCCTTATTTGCCCTATTTCGCGATATACACCGTAGATAATGGCTCAAAAAGAACCTCAAAATTTATACTAATATATGCCAATGATCCCATAAGAAATAGAAAGTTTATAGATCTATCTATCTATCTATCTATCTATCTAAATCGTTTTTACACTACTTTGTTCGCCTATGTCTATAGCCATCTCTCTCTCTCTCTCTCTCTCTCTCTCTCTCTCTCTCTCTCTAGACAAACCAATGTTTGCCAGTCAGTTCCTATATTTCCTTAGCTAATTTAAATTTGTTCTAATCTCACATATTTCATTCAAGCAACACAATCCCCATCCTTCACGCTTAACGGTTCTGTGTCTCTTTCTTTCTTTCTTTTTGTAATTTTATCTTTCTTTTCTTCTTTCTTTTTCCTTCTTTTTCTTTCCTTCTTTCTTTTCGTAATTCTTTCTTTCTTTCCTTGTTCCGTTTTTATATTCATTCTTTCTTTCCTTCCTTCTATTTATCTGTCTGTTGATTTCTTTGTCTTTCATTGTTTTTTCTTTCCTTCTTTCTTTATTCTTTCTTTCTTTCCTTTTTCCTTTTTCTTTTTTCCTTTTTCTTTTTTCCTTCTTTCTTTCTGACTATCTTTCTTTCATTCTTTCTTTCCTTTTTCCTTTTTCTTTTTTCCTTCTTTCTTTCCTTCTTTCTTTCTGACTATCTTTCTTTCTTTCTTTTCTTTTTCCTTTTTCTTTTTTCCTTCTTTTTCTTTCCTTCTTTCTTTTTCTGACTATCTTTCTTTCTTTCTTTTTCTTTTCCTTTTCTTTTTCCTTCTTTCTTTCCTTCTTTCTTTCTGACTATCTTTCTTTCTTTCTTTCTTTCTTTCTTTTCTTTTTCCTTTTTCTTTTTTCCTTCTTTCTTTCCTTCTTTCTTTCTGACTATCTTTCTTTCTTTCTTTTCTTTTCTTTTTCCTTTTTCTTTTTTCCTTCTTTCTTTCCTTCTTTCTTTCTGACTATCTTTCTTTCTTTCTTTCTTTTCTTTTCTTTTTCCTTTTTCTTTTTTCCTTCTTTCTTTCCTTCTTTCTTTCTGACTATCTTTCTTTCATTCTTTCTTTCATTCTTTCTTTCTTATTTAATGTCTGTTTCATCTTTTCTATGTTTCTCTTCAATCTTGTTGATAAGTTTAACATCTTCATCGTAGGGCCAACTGAAAGCGGCTCTGAGATTCAATATTTATCTATTTTTATCATTTCATCCCAAACAAGGCGATAAGGCTACTAAGACGCCAGAGATTAGTGAGATTGAAACCGAAGGGGAAGATTTTATTCAGGAGGAAAGATAATAAAACAGGATTTAGAAAGACTGAAGACCTCTAGGTGGTAGGGAAGTAAGAGTATTCCACAGGCGAGTGCGAATAAAGAAAACTATTAGAATAAAATTTACGGTTACATCTAGCTAATCCAACAGTAAAACGATGAGACCTAATTGCCAATCTAGTATTGCGTTTAAATAGTTGCAGTCGCAAATACCAAGGAGGAGAGATCCTTAGAAAAACTACCAAGAATATTTATAGAAAAGCCATGTCCCTATAATGAGAAAGTGACTGATGTCGAGAAGCCAGGTTTTACTTTTTGAAAGGATGCCTGTGCAGAGACAAACAAAAATGGTTGGAAGGCCAAAAGTTATTTAGTGCAACAAAGGAGAATAAGAAGCTGTGGAGAGCCATGATATTACATATCCTAGAGGAGGAAAGAAAAGCAGTAGAAAGGGTGACAAGAGAATAACCAATGAACGTATAGCAGAGGAAAATCAAATATAGATGGTAATAGGTAAGAATTTATTTAAAGCAATTAAGGAGAAAAAGTTGTGAAAGCGGAAACATGAAACCTGGTTTTGTTTGAATGTATGACAGAAGTAATATAAAGATTGATAATAATGTGTCAAAATATATTTACAGCAACAATAGACAGGAAGTTGTGAAGGACCATAATCGCCCACTTGATGCAATAATATGGTACATAAATAAGAAAAAAAATATGTCAACCCAATCTTCGGTTATTAATATAAACATAGAAAGAGTTGTAAGACAAGGATGTATCTTCTCACCGGATTATTCAACCTATAACCATTTCTTTCTTTCTTTCTTTCTTTCTTTCTTTCTCATTTAATGTCTATGTTTCATCTTTGTTTCTCTTCATTCTTGTTGGTAAGTGTAAAATCTTCATCGTAGGACCAACTGAAACCGGCTTTGAGATTCAATATTTATTTTTTAGCATTTGATCCCAAACAAGGCAATAAAGCCATTAAGACGCCAGAGAATAGTGAGATTGAGAGTGAAGGGGAAGATTTTATTAAGGAGTAAAGACAGTAAAAGAACAGGATTTTCAAAGACTGAAGATCCTACGGGGCAGGGATGTGAGTTTCACAGGCGAAAATCTAACAATAAAATGATGAGACATACTTGCCAATCTAGTATTACGTTTAAATACATGCGGTCGCAGTGGCAATGAGGAGAGATCATTAGAAAAAAAAACCATGAATATTTATAGAAAAGCCATGTCACGATGGTGAGAAAGTGGCTGATGTCGAGATGCCAGGTTTTTTCTTTTGATTTTAATTTTTAAAAGGATACCTGTGCAGGGACAAAAAAAAGTTCATTCATATCTATCTATCTATCTATGTTTGTTTATATCTATATCTATGGAGTAGTCCAGCGCTATAGAGCTGGAGTTGGAGTCCAAAATGGCCGATGCGCAAAGAAAGTGAATCGCGGTAGCTGGGTGGGGCGATAATAGGAGGTTGGAGACCTACCTGATTTTTCGGCCCTATTTGCCCTATATTGCTATAGATAATGGCTCGAAAAAAAAACTTCATACTAGTATATGCCAAAGATTCCATAACAAATTCCGGGTAATTTGCTTTTTAAACCCCGCGCTAATTATCTAATAAAAATTTCCTGAGCAGTTATATTTTACACTAAAGTTAGAGGCCTAATTAAAAAATAACAAATAATTTTTTATAAAATCTATAGTTTTGGAGTTATCGACAATACAAGTTCGGACTCATTCATGTCTTTGTCGGCTACGGCACGGCAGCCATTATTGGCGCTGTTTGCATCAGTTCGTGCGCAATAATCGAAACAAGTGAATGTCTGTTCCACAGCAAATATATACAGACCACGCCGGTAATGGCTGCCGCGACGAAAATGAATCCGAATTTTTAATGTCGATAACTCCAAAACGGTTGATTTTATAAAAATTTCTTTGTTAATTTCGAATTAAGCATGAAAAATTACGCGTAAATATAACTATTCAGGAAATTTATACCCGGGAATTCTAATTACTACGCGCTATGTATATTTGTTTATTTATGAGAGATTATTGATGTCTAATGTTGGGCAGTCAAATTGAACATGATCAACCAGAGAAAAGTACTCCTATTGAAATCCCATCCGTGGTATCTGATAACAGTGACAAAATTCCTATTAATTAGTTCGATATTATAGGAACTCTTAGATAGCGCGTGGAATAGAAATAGAAAGTATTCATATATAATTATTACCAATACAATTGGGTTAAGAGAAATACGGCCGAGGTGTTAAAATTTCACAAAATTTGGGCTTTTTGATAATCAAAATCAAGGTAAAACGTGTGAAAATGTATGCTAATATATGCCAATGATTCCATAATAAATAGTACGTTTTTAGATCTATCTATCTATCTATCTATCTATCTATCTATCTATCTATCTATCTATCTATCATTGACAGTGTGGCTATCTATCTATCTTTCTATCTATTATTGAGAGTATGGCTATCTATCTATCTATCTATCTATCTATCTATCTATCATTGACAGTATGGCTATCTATCTATCTATCTATCTATCTATCTATGCTTGTTTACATCTATATCTATACCGTAGTCCACCGCTATAGCGCGGGACTTGGTGTCCAAGATGGCCGACCCGCGCTGCAACTGAATTGCGGTAGCTGTGGTGGTGGTGGGGGGGGGCGATAATAGGAGGTTTAACACCTACCTGATTTTGGGGATCTATTTGCCATATTTCGCGATATATACCGTAGATAATAGCTCTCGAAAAGAACCTCAAAAAATTATACTATTTCATTCCAATGATTCCATAAGAAATTTCGAATAATTTGCATTTTAAGCCCCGCGCTAAGAATCTAATAAAAATTTCCTGAACAGTTACATTTTATTCTAAATTTACATGCCTAATTCGAAAATAACAAAGAAATTTTTATAAAGTCTTCCGTTTTGTACTTCTCAACAATAAAAAGTTCGGACTCATTCGTTTATTTCAGTGAATTCGCGATTAAGACCCTAAATTACTACGCGCTATGTATATTTGTTAATTTATGAGAGATTCTTGATGTCTAGTGTTGCGCAGTCAAATTGAACATGATCAACCAGAGAAAAGTACTCCTATTTATATCCCATCCATGGTATTTGATTGCAGTGATTGAATTCCTATTAATTAGTCCGATATTATAGGAACTCTTTGATCGCGCGCGAAATATAAATATAAAGTAATCATATATAATTATTACCAATGCAATTGAATTAGGTGTAAATCGGCCGAGGTGTTAAAATTTCGCAAAATTTGGGCTTTTTGATGAGCAAAATCAAGGTAAAACGTGTGAAAAAGGGATGTAATTATTGAAACAAATTAGGACCCATCTGATGATCGCTGCTTTTTCTGTCTATCGTGAAGAAGATGACCCAGAGATTGGTAAAATGGGGTGGAATTTCTCAAAAAACTCAGCGATATTCAGGGTAGGAGAACAAAAACTTGCACGATAGTAAGAGCAAAAATTTGCACCTAAGGAAATATACTGACCAGTAAATTATTGGAGGATAACGCGTACAAGGCGAGCAGATTTTTTTTTTTTTAAATAAAGTGATCAATATTAAAAAATAGAGCAACAATAGTGAATAGGTAAATGAATTCAATGTCTTTCCTTGACGAGCGGTTCTCTGTGAAACTTCTATCTATCTATCTATCTATCTATCTATCTATCTACATCTGTTTTTCTGTCTATATATTTATCTATATATCACTATCTATCTATCTATCTATCTATCTATCTATCTATCTATCTGTCGTTGCATAATACATTTTAGATGCATCGAAGGTGGTCTTCAGTGATGCACTGTCCTATCTATCTATCTATCTATCTATCTATCTATCTATCTATTTCAGTCTATTTCAGTCTATTCATATCTATCTATCTATCTATCTATCTATTTCAGTCTATTTCAGTCTATTCATATCTATCTATCTATCTATCTATCTATCTATCTATCTATCTATCTATTTCAGTCTATTTCAGTCTATTCATATCTATCTATCTATCTATCTATCTATCTATCTATCTATCTATATACATCTGTCTTTCTGTCTATATATTCATCTATATATCACTGTCTATCGATTTATCTACCTATCTATATCTATGTATCTATGAAGAAATATAGTTTTAAAGTCTGCTATATTTATGGGATAAAGTGCTCAATATCAGAGATAGAGCGTATGTAAATATAAATATAAAAGTGAACATTGAATTCAACACTATATATATATATATATATATATATATATATATATATGTAACAAAAATAAAGAAGAGACATGAAACACATTTTTATATTTGATCAATAATTAATAATTAAATTCTAATATATTTATTTGAAAAAGTGCCGTATATTCTATTAGTTATTAGAAGGGGGAATGGTACTTTAAATATGTAAGAACTTACACATAATTAAATGACCCTTTTAGAAAATCCTTGTGTATAAAAACATGAATTAAACGGATTAAAAAAAATTCATTTTTTTTTGTTTTGAAAACCCAAACGATTCGCTGAATAAAGGATGTCTATGTTTGTTGAGCAGGTACCCTCACCCCACCTAAACTTAACCTGACTTTGAAAGTAACATATATTTGATACATAAGCTGTCTATGGAAATTGAAACCCAACCACCCCTAAACAAAATAGATTGAATTTTTCTTAACCATAATAACTCATAATATTAATATTGTCTGCGCTTATAAATTAATTAAATTTCTCAGAAAGTTATTCCTTATATCGCTTGACAATGGAACGAAACTATGAATATAAAGTTTAATTTTATAATTAAATTTATAAATTTAGATTCAGTTTTGAAACAGAAATTTCTGTGTCGCTATGGAATCATATTTTTACAAAAGAAAATAATTATAATATTTTGCTCTACTGTTTGTTTCGTACAATGTTCATTTTTGAAATAAAATAATTGCTAACAACACCGGATTATAAATCTTACTGTTCTTTCTCATTATTTCAATATATATATATATATATATATATATATATATATATATATATATATATATATATATATATATATATAATTTGTATTTAAGGCATCAAATTACTTTTTATACAATTTCTCATGCGATCCATTTTTTTTTTTTTTTTGTTTTCGGATGTTAAATTATATAAAACTGTCCGAATGTTCTTTTTCTCCGAGCGCTTTCGGCTATACATTTAGCCATAAGGATTAAATATTTTAACTGTTAAAATAAGAAATAGTTTGTCATATCTATGATTTATAAAATGTTTTCATTTTTCAAAACACGGTCAATATATTATGTGCATGTTCAAAGTTAATGTTATTTAGTGTTGTTTTTTTGTATGTACTAAGAAGGCTTCCATTATTTTTAGCCTTTTTTTTGCATGTAGATGATGTTATTATATTAGTGTTGTCAACAAGTATGTTACGAATAGTGTCGGTAAGTCTCGATTTAATTAAGATCTATGTGTGTGTGTGTGTGTGTTTGTCTATCTATCTATCTATCTATCTATCTATCTATCTATCTATCTATCTATCTATCTATCTATTACCATCAATGACAAATTATTTTCATTATTTATGCTTTCCTCTCCTCACGATAATCAAAAAGTAACTCTTTCACGTCTTATTCTTCCTATTTTCCTCTTAATCGAAACGAAATAG